ATTTAGACACTTTATCTGTAATGGAAAAAGCTCTATCTGATTTTATAAAATGGCCTATTTCCCCTAAAGCAAAAGAAACTCATTTTAAAATTGTTCATAAAATCTACCCGGTTTCTACTTTTTTAAATTCAAGATTTAAATTTGAAGTGGAACCATGTTCCTTTTGTAATTTATCTGATGAATCGTTGGAACATTTATTTTTCTCTTGCCCCTTTTCTGAATTGTTTTGGTCGAATGTGAGAGATTGGTTGTTACTTAAATTAACAAATATTCCGGCCTTCAAAATATATCACATTTTATATTATATTGATAATTTGGACTCTCCCATTTCTGATTTGGTAAATATAATTATTATTTTTGGGTAAATACCATTTACATTGTAGTAAATGGAGAGGAGGCAAGCCCTCCTTTCCCTGTTTCATAAATGAGTTCAAGTCCTTTTTTCTGTCCCTTAGAAAAATACAATCTTGTAACCTGTCTATAAAGATTTGCAATGACATTTCCAAATGGTTATTATTTTAAGTAAGCTTAATGCCTCTTAAATGTTTTTGTGCCTTTATGCTTTTTTCTTTCCCCCTGGCTCTTACTGGATGTATTAGTTATGTTTTTTTGTCTTATTGTGAATGAATGTCTTGAACTTATGTTGATAAGTTGATGATATCCTCACCGAGCTTTTGTATGTTTAAAAAATGTTCAATAAAAAAAAAAAAAAAAAAAAAAAAAAAAAATACGGTCACTTCCGGTAACGCTAAACCACGAACATCCGGCCCGAGACTTTCAGAATAAAAGCGCTTCACGTTTTAAATTGGGTAAAATTAGAAAGAGATTGAGGCTTCAGTCTAGTTTAAAGGAGAGATTAAGAAACCTGAAAACAGGAACATAAGAAAGAGATGGACGGTTACATGTTAACCCATTTCATCTAATCATTTTAAACAGTGGTGAGAAGTAACTAAGTACATTTACTCAAGTACTTTACTCAAGTACTATTTAGAGGTACTTGTACTTTCCTTGAGTATTTCCATTTTATGATACTGTGTACTTCTACTCCACTACAGTTCAGAGGTACATGGTGTTCTTCTACTCCACTACAGTCAGAGGTACATGGTGTACTTCTACTCCTCTACAGTTCAGAGGTACATGGTGTGTACTTCTACTCCTCTACAGTTCAGAGGTACATGGTGTACTTCTACTCCTCTACAGTTCAGAGGTACATGGTGTACTTCTACTCCACTACAGTTCAGAGGTACATGGTTGTACTTGTACTCCACTACATCTACAGTGCATCCGGAAAGTATTCATACCCCTTCACTTTTCCCACATTGTGTTATGTTACAGCCATATTTCAAAATGGATTAAATTCATTTGTTTCTCAACATTCGAGACACAATACCCCATAATGACAAAGTGGCAAAAGTTTTAAAGAATATTTGCAAATGATTTAAAAACAACAACACTAAATATCACATGTACATAAGCACCCTTTACTCAATACTTTGTTGAAGCGCCTTTGGCAGCTGTTTACGGCCTCAAGTCTTCTGAGCATGATGCCACACCTATCTCTGGGCAGTTTCTCCCATTCTTCTCTGCAGATCGTCTCAGGCTCCATCAGGTTGGATGGGGAGCGTCGGTGCACAGCCATCTTCAGATCTCTCCAGAGATGTTCAATCAGGGTAAAGTCTGGGGTTGCGGTCGAATAGTCCATTAAGCTTAGGAACCTTCCTAACGGAGTGAAATGACCCGGAAGTCCCTCAGTGGCAGCCATGATAAGTTGCCGTTCGAATTCTCTAAATTAAAAGGAAAGGAGGTTTCAAACTTCCTTTATAACCTCCTTTAGCTTAGGAACCACTGGACCTCCCTAACCGAAAGGAGAGGAGAAAATGCTGCCCCACAATGCCTTGCGGCCGCGGCATTTGCCGTCACACAACAGTCGGCCGTTCACGGAAACAATCGATTATGAACGAGAAATGATATCATGAAAGTTACGGTTCAAAACGTAGCCTATGTGGTAAGTTGCCAAAGTGCTTTGTTTTGAACGTTCATCAGTATTATAATCAAAAAGTCAAATATGAACGTTAGTTTTTACTGAAATGATCAAATAAAGTCAACATTTCACAGTCTTTACTGAGCTGTGTGGGGTTTGTTCAACTTTTAAAAAGATGTTTGAATGGTGATATACACAGTGATAGATGTTAAGGACTAACGTTTATAATAAATACATTTGTATTGATTTTAAGATCTTTTCATACAATCATACGTATTGGGATCATTTGTATTAATGTGGACCGGAGGGAGAGGGTGACGAGCATAAGTTTCACTTTCCTTTTTTATTTCAATTCCAACTTTGGTCATGGAGAATATGTTTCTCTGTTGTCCCCGTTCATAAAGCATAAAACAACAGCATCAGAGCACGGTGCAGAGTCTCTAGATGAGTTACAGTAGTCCCTCGTTCTTATTAACATCCATGTTGTAGTCCGCTGTATAGAAAACTGTAGTTTCCCATAGTTTCCCCCACAGCAGCAGGCGCCACATTCATGACCTCCGCTGGCGCATCATAAACACGTCGGATAGTGGAAGTGCAGTCGGATTCTCTAAAGTACCGCAGTCTCTTCTCCTAAATCCTTTTGAATTCTCCTATCCACTATCCCTTAACACCCCGTGACCTTTCACTCAGAGGTCAAGGAATAGACGATAGGGTTAGAATTTAGGAGCTGTTTTTTTGGAGTATTCGACCGCAACCTGGGCTCTGTCTGGGCCACTCAAGGACATTCACCAGACTTGTCCTGAAATCACTCCTTTGTTATCCTTGGCTGTGTGCTTAGGGTCGTTGTCCTGTTGGAAGGTGAACCTTTGCCCCAGTCTGAGACAAGAGCCACAACCCTTGGCTGCGGTCGGATAATCCAAAAATCAGCTCCTATCGTCTAACCCTATCGTCTATTCCTTGACCCCTGAGTGAAACGTCATGGGGTTAAGGGATAGTGGATAGGAGAATTCAAAAGGATTTAGGGAGAAGAGACTGCGGTACTTTAGAGAATCCGACTGCACTTCCACTATCCGACGTGTTTAATGATGCGCCAGCGGACGTCATGAATGTGCGTCTGCTGCTGTGGGGAAACTATGGAAACTACAGTTTTCTATACAGCGGACTACAACATGGATGTTTAATAAGAACGAGGGACTACTGTAAACTCATCTAGAGACTCTGCACCGTGCTCTTGATGCTGTTGCTTTATGCTTTATGAACGGGGACAACAGAGAAACATATTCTTCATGACCAAAGTTGGAATTGAAATAAAAAAGGAAAGTGAAACTTATGCTCGTCACCCTCACCCTCCGGTCCACATTAATACAAATGATCCCAATACGTATGACTGTATGAAAAGATCTTAAAATCAATACAAATGTATTTATTATAAACGTTAGTCCTTAACATCTATCACTGTGTATATCACCATTCAAACATCTTTTAAAAGTTGAACAAACCCCACACAGCTCAGTAAAGACTTGTGAAATGTTGACTTTATTTGATCATTTCAGTAAAAACTAACGTTCATATTTCTCTTTTTGATTATAATACTGATGAACGTTCAAAACAAAGCACTTTGGCAACTTACCACATACATTTTAAAAAGCTTAATAAGCACCGTAACTTTCCTGATATCATTTCTCGTTCATAATCGGTTGTTTCCGTGAACGGCCGACTGTTGTGTGACGGCAAATGCCGCGGCCGCAAGGCATTGTGGGGCAGCATTTTCTCCTCTCCTTTAGGTTAGGGAGGTCCAGTGTTCCTAAGCTAAAGGAGGTTATAAAGGAAGTTTGAAACCTCCTTTCCTTTCATCTAGAGAATTGGAACGGCACTTATCATGGCTGCCACTGAGGGACTTCCGGGTCATTTCACTCCGTTAGGAAGGTCCTAAGCTAAATGGACTATTCGACTTCAGCCCAGGACTTGGTTTGTGCTCTGATGTGCACTGTCAACTGTGGGAACTCATATATGTTTGTCTTTTTAGTTTTCCTGCGATGATGGTTCTTCAGGACTGCTTCTTAAACTCTAATCACACTCTCGCAGACTTTTCTGGTGATTCTAAAGTAGATGACAATGTATGTGTGTCGATTAAGAGGAAAAGATGCCTGTTTTTGTTGTTGTTATTACTGTCAGGAAATGTTCAACCTAACCCTGGTCCGCCCAGTAGTAGTAGTCCGATCGCTACTCCTGCTGATTTTAAAGCTAGGTCTGGGTTGGGTTTCATCCACTTGAATGTGCGCAGTCTGTTAGGTAAACTAGATTTTGTCCGCATTTGGGCAAGCTCGACTGACGCTGACGTCATTGTGTTATCAGAAACATGGCTAAATAAATCTATTTTGGCCTCTGACATTGCCTTAAATGGTTATAA